AAAATTATTAGCAAAATTACCTCTCAATAAACAATATAATAACCCTTTTTTTTAACACGCGCAATTGTTGCAAACGCGCGAAAATAATATAAAATAACGAAAGATAACAAAAATAAACTAATTATAGGATGATACATTATATACATTAAATTTTATCTTAATTTTTCAAAATGATGGATTTTTCAAAAATATTTTCGGATGGATGGAAAAACAGCTTCGAAGAAAAATAATAATAATAAGAAAAACAATTCTGCAAGAAGAATATAAAAATACATCTTTCGAAAACGAATATCGAATAAATAATACTTTCGAGCGGAACCTATTAATTAATAAAAAATAACTGATCGAAAGATTCTGCTACATTAAAAACAACTTCCCTTTCACTAATCCATATCCTATAAATCTTCCTTATCCCAAAGAACCCGAGGGACCCCGATTTTCCCAACTTTGGACGGAAAACTTGAACTGTCTACACCGTGGTGGTTCTGACACCCCCCTCCTACCCCCTGTTCTAAGAGCTGGTATCTAATCGATACGCCTAACCTCTGACCTATTATCGCGGTAGAAGTTGTTCGTAGATATCGTTGCGCAAGATTTAGCTCACAGTTGGACTCTTGGAAGTTGCTCGATAAATCGAGGCCTCGCCTACGCCCACACACGTGTGGACACGGTCAAAGGCACTTCCGCTCTTTTTTAAAAATAGTAGTAGAACCAGCCAGGCTCCCTGCGCGCCCGTTCCATTCCTCCGATCGACCTCCTCTCTTCGCTCTCCGAGAGAGGAAGAAGAGAACGTTGTTCGATCGAGAAGAAAAAAGAAAAATCTCGTGAAAATCTCAGGGGAGGGTGGAAACGTTGCATCGAGGACACTTTTATACGGATATCCCGGGGTGGGTCGTCGTCACGCATTGGCTAATCCCGCCCAACTTGGATGGAACAACACGATGACGATTTGTCGCGAAATTTATCTATGGCTTTACTATCGAGGGGGGGGAGGAGGAGGAGTGTCGAGGAGAAAGAAGGATTTAGGAAGGAGAGGATATTTATATGAAACGAGGTGCGATCAAGTGAAAGAAATGGTATATTACTCGTTCCAATCTGATTGAATTATTATAGTCAATTTATTATAATATAGTATAATTAATTAATAATATAATATAATTATAATATAGTCAATTATTAGGCAAATTATTTGTCAGTTTTTATTGATTAAAAGTGGTGAGATGGAGAAGGGAACTATCAAGTATTTGGAAAAGATGCAAAGAATATTGATGAATTATTGGTCGAAGTTGAAGTAAAATCGAGAAATGAAAGATTTTATAGAAAAAATTTTGAAAGAATCGAGAAGCGTCTTTAGATTCGAGAATGTAAGAGAAATAATTATAGTAATTTTTGGGGAGTTGTGCGAGAATTGAGGAATTCAAAATTGTTTCAGAAATTTAGATAGAATTTCATTTCGTGAACTTCAGATGATAATTTCCAGTTCTCCAGAAAAGTAGATAAGGAGAAGATAAAGGATAGAAAGCTCGTGAAAGTATTTTAACATTTGGAGAAGGATGAGATTGGACGAATTTCGACAAGATTGTAGAATTAAAATCTGTTAAAACTTCTAAAAGAACTTCCCATCCAGCTCTGAAACCGCACAAGTATAATTGAACCGCCCCAAACTGTCCTAAACTGTTAAAGGCGGGGAAACACACTGATACGTTCAAAACCGCCGGAACTCCTATATTCCTCAGAGACATTCAGAATCCCTGAAACACGCCAATGCCTCGTGAAACTTCCGGAATCACCAGAGCTCTCGAAACTTCCAAAATTTCGGCAACCTTCGAATCAATCAAGAGTCCTTCAACCTAGTCTTATACCCCCATTGCCACTTCAAACTTCGAGCATAGAATCCACGAGACACTGATATCTATCCATCTATCTATCTATATAAAAAAAAAAATCAAATAACAAATAAATCCTATTTTATTTATTATAGGAAAAATTTATATATTAATATAATGATTTTTAATTTTTTTAGAAAAAAATATTTATAATTGACAACAATTATTTCACTTCCAAACAACAAGTTCCTTAATGAAGAGAGTAAAAAGTATGTAAGATAGATCGTCCAAGTATGAATTGAAGAAACATTTCGTGTATAATTACGCGAGCCGCAATTGGAAGCAAAAGCATCGATTAACAGTGAAAGGAAGGTCGCTCGAATTTCCACCGATACCCCACCGAACTGATCCGTGATAATTGAAGCTCGTGCAAAGCCTCAGTACCGCCCACTATTGTCGCATCAGTAAGTTAACTTTATCACGCGTACGGTCATTTATTTCACCGCGTATCTCGATCGAGCCTACCTTTCACACCCGGCCAACATCACGGCTATATCGTTTCAAACACGGTTCAACAACGTGAGATCTTAATCTAACTATCGGATGAAACATCTGTTTAAAGTATCTGGGTACGGTTTCGACGGGCCGATCGATCAATTTCGAATCAACGAATTCCGATTCAATCAACGTACGAAAATCAAATTTGCTCGACAAAGAAACTTTGTTAATTAAAAACCTTTGTTAACTAAAAACTGAGGATATTTTTTTTTTTAAGCGATCTATACGAAAACCCGTCCATATTAACGACATATATTTTCCGTATAAACATCATCCGCGTATATCATTTATTAATATTCATAACATTGCCCAACCTTGTAATTATGTAAAGGGATGGTATGCATTCAAATATTCAACGAATATACATAAAATATGTCGACGTTGTGTAAAATATATGTTAAATTATGTCCACATTACATTACAATGACAGACCTTCAGCGTTCACGAAATGTCATGGATGAAATTTCAATTCGTAGGAAAAAGAAAAAGAGAAAAAAAGAACGTAAGAAAAAATTAAAATATCATCATTAAAATCCACTCGGGGAATAGAGGAAACTATGCCATTGAAATCCCTTTTTGTTTTATCCCGATATCTCAATCGGTTGCCGAGATATAAGAGTTCAAAGTTTTCATAGCGATTGCACCGATTATGAATGACCTATATCTCTTCCTGGAAATACGTACTATGTTTTTCCAGGAATCGCGTCTGTCGCTCGTCTGTGGTTTGGGATAGGTCAGTGAGACTAGGTGCGAGCGAGAGTTTCGAATAAAAAACAAGGACGGAGACGGTAAACGATCGAAAATTACCCTTTTCTTTACACGACGATATCTCGGGAACCGGAAGTCGTATCGGGATAAATAAAAAAGCGTTTTAAAGGGCAAGGTTCCACGCTTCTAATGGTTTTTCATTGATTCGCCAAAGATCACTATCTTCGAAGTTATAGCTATTCAAAGTTTTCCTAATTTTAATAAGTTTAATAAGCATATATATGTATATGGATCGTTAAAATTTATGAAATTGCTATTGGGACAAAAGATTAATAATGCAAAATTTTCTTTTGACAAGCATCACGTGATTCGTTGATTCGAAATCGATTGATTGGCACACCGACCTCATATCTGCTGACCCGTTAAGTCAAACCCGGACAATCTGCATTTTACGTGTCTAACTTAGCATATAAGTTCCCTCGTGCACGACTACGTTACACAAACTGTTACAATGTCTCCCCGCTCTGGGAGGAAATCTCTGGGAAACGTAAGATAAGAGGGGGACGATAAATTGCCCGCTATTGGAGAAACCTCGGATATTAAAAAGCTATTAAGCGTTGGATATTAAAGAGAGTATCCGTTTTCTGTCTCTCCTTTTTTTTTTTTTCTTCCATCCCTTTGAAAAATAATTATCGGAGGGAAATGCAACTACCGTGCCATGTTCAGATTTAATCGATGGAATTAAATTCAAATCGCAAATTTTATATTGATTAGGTTAGCGTAATATATTTAACAAGTGATATGAACTTTGAAGAGAAACGAAGGATATTTTGACCTTTTTTTTCCTTGTAAAAAAATTATAGAAAAATCACGTCTTCTTCCTTTTGCTATTATACTAAAAAAGAAAGAAAACTCGATCGAATATTATAAATCGATACGTTCATGGATTTTGAGTGTGAAGAAAATCTATCTGTTACTAAAAAGAAAAGAAGAAGAGGAAGAAAGAGAGGAGGAAAAACACAGGAGCAACAAACTCGCTTATTTACATCGTTGAATAAAATACAGGATGATATTTCAACAGAGAAAGTTCGTCTGCAGTCTGCATCGACACTGAAAATATAATTATCTCTTGCCTTTTCACGCCATTGACCATTTAAACGCGTTAGTCGGTTGTAAGCGTCAAAAGCATATTATTCGTTTGAACCGGTGATACGCGGTTGAGCCGCGTTTGCTCGGATACACAATTCTATTTAACGTTATATATATATATATATGTATACACGTGCACACCGATGCAGAAGTAAACTAAAGTTCCTTGCACGAATGCATGAATAAAAAAATTCGAGCGTTCACGAAAAAAAGGAAGAAGAAGAAGAAGAAGAAGAAGAAGAAGAAGGTAGAGAAGGGGATTGGTGGAAAACGAAGAGAAATCAAAAATAAAAATAAACATAGCTGGCTGCTCGAGCTACCAGGGATGATGCTCGTTCCACGGGTGCACGGGTGCGAGAAAGAGACGGATGAGAAGAAGTCGGTGTCCTAAATTTAGTAGTAGTCGCATCGCTCTTTCATAATTAAAACGCAGTACACGCGTACAGAAGGTTCTAAAATTCTTTTTTCAAACTTCGTCGTGCCGCTATTAGATGAAACTTTAATATCCTCGGCTCCGGTTTAAACATCAGACCACCCTCCCCTATCCCTGCATCCCTGCACGGGATACGTCATATTAAAAAGTATGTGCACGTGTTGTACGCGACACACGTAGGTACAGTTGTCTCGTAACTTAACAAACTTAACAACAAACGTAAAAGAGCCACACCTCTCTTTCTTTAACCCTAAGTTTAATTCTGAGAAAAAAAAAAAAGAAAAAGAAAAAAGAGAAAAATAATCGTTATCCTTTTTATATTACAGAACCGGCGGAGGCAGTATGCTGAATGACGTCAACATCTCCGCGATATTGGACTCGTTCTCCGTCAGTTACGATAAAAGAGTAAGGCCGAACTACGGAGGTGAGTAGGGGACACGACGTTTATAACATATATCTTTTTCTCTCTCTATCTCTCTCTCTACCTATCTATCTCTCTATCTCTCTCTCTCTCTCTCTCTCCTGCCTATCGATAGTCTGATCATTGGACCACACTCTATATATGTGGTAGAATCGATATATCGTGAGGCAAAACCGCAATCATTGGGCGAACAACAAGCGACGCGACTATTATCCTGCCTGAACTGCCAACTAATTATCTAGTTTTTCCCAGGCTGAAAAAAATGAACGGCTCAACCTCTATATATATATATATATATATATACATATATATATCTTCATATATATAGAATATAGAGGATCATAATAGAGGATCGTTTTATTACAGTTTTGCCCACGATGTACGATCTCGACTTTTTTTTTTTACTCGCATATAATATACCCCTACGCTTACTCGTCGCATTTCCGATAGTCGTTGCACGGACTGGGCGTAAGAAAAAAAAAAAAAAAAAAAAAAAAAAAAAAAGAAAAGATCGAGAGATCCCTCGTCCCGCAGCGAACGAGATATCCACCTTATCCATTCGTTTATTCGTTCGTTCGTTGATACGAATTTACAAATTTATAATACTTTCGAAATCGCGCGGAGGAACGAGAAAAGAAAAAAGAAAGAGGATCGTTCGAGAAATTGAAAAGAAAAACCTGGTGGAAACCTCGTTCCCTGTGCGTTCACCGTGTACGAATATTGCAACCGTGTGCTTGGGATGAAGCGTAAATGGGGATGAAGATTCGATTCGATTCGATTCGATTCGATTCGATTCGATTCGATTCGAAGTGGCTATACGTAGCCGTACTGTGTGTAACCGGTGCTGAAACGTTTTTTCCTTTGATAACAAACGAAACAAACGGATCGTTAAGGGAGGGGGAGGGGGGGAGAAACGAGCGGTGAAGGATAAAGTTGGAATCGATTCGAGGGAGGATGGGGGGAAACTTAAAATATCGGGGGGCGGGGGGGGAG